TATATATATATATATATATATATTATATGAACATGAAGCAACAAATACAAATAAGATTTGTATAGTACATACATAGTTCTATTCCTTATATTTCTATTCTAATACCTTTCAATTACACACATCTATTGGCATTTATTTTAACTTGCACTTTGGAAATGGCAATTTCAAGAAACTTTAAAGAGAATCTCTTATTTGATAGGTTTGCTTTAATGCTTTAAAAATACTACTGTTAAGTGCTCATTTCCATACTTCAAATAACCAGTGATTTAACTGCGCGATTGTACCTATCTATCAACGCGATATCTTTGAATCTCTTGAAAGATTTGAAGCTATTCTCATACTTTAAATAAGCACTAATGCAGCATTGTGCGATTGTATCTTTAAAATTAATACGATTTTATATCGTAAGCGGCATTGTACATTATCTATTCTATTCTACTCATCTGTTTTAATAATGAATTGAGCTAACGGATGTTGTTAATAAAAAATGATTTACCGTTTACAGAGTCTCTCACTGACACCGGTGAGGCCGCGGCCAGGTCACGCGGCCTCTGGAGGAACGACAGCAGCAGGAGTCAACGACGACAGCGATGCCGAGAGCGTGAAGAGTTATAGCAGTGCTTGCAGTACAGCGAGTGCCTGTGAACATGCCTCCTTTGCGTTGAACGGCACCACCTGGTCTGGTCGATCGCGAAAATATGTCGTGCATTGCTCGAATTATGTCGGTGATAGCGAACAATACCTCACGCCTACTCAAAGAGCGGCTAAACAAGTTCGAAAGTTTCAGGTAATTAACATCTTTACAATAAAAACAACTGCATTTTATTCGTCATTCATTTTGCTCTTCAATTTTTCTGTGCCTTAACAATATATTACAGTCGAACGCATTATACACAATGTACCCTATTTATGGAATTGAAAATATTATTCGTGATTCTCTGTCTTAAAAATCATAATTTTTGTAGACTATTAATAATCAATTAATCTAGAATTAACTAGTAAGGCTCATACGGTCATTTATATCGTAAAAAATGACTTGAATTGAAATTTTTTTGAATTTTACACAATGTGCAGGTTGCGATCTAAAATATACTTTTAATCAGAAAAAATGATTTTAAATACTTTCCAAAGGAAAATGACACAAAATATAAGGCCAGTTTTTAGGGGTAATACAACACCATAACAGAATTTAATATTAATATATTTAAAGAATTTGAAACAAGCACAATTTGTAACAAGCTTTAAATCAATTTATATATAATACTGTAATAAATATAATTAATTTTTAAATACACAATTTTCTTTTTTCTTCTAAACAATTTTATTTTTTTTTACTTGTGTCATTACTTTTCTTGTTGGTATATATGCAAATGTACATTTAATTATTATAATTTTATTTTTTCCTTGGTAAAATTACGCGGTTATTGATATCTCTATTTTCATGTTCAGGCTCTATTGAAGGAAGCGCGCAAAGAAATCGATGAGAAGGACCGGGAAATCTTGCGTTTGACGAAGGAGGTTGTAGAGTTGAGGTTGTATAAGGCCTCTCTAAACAGTCCGGATGAAAGAACGGATAGCAGCGATGCTCTTACCGTGCGTGAGAACAATCCTTTCTCACCGGAGTCGCCGAGCAAGGATCTTCCTGATGAAGGTGCCGCGGAGAAATCCATCGCCAGTCCGGAAACTCCGGAGAAGCGTGCGCACACAGATCTCACCTCGTCATTAGCTGACTCCGGACACTTCGAAGATGGTTCCGTCCATTCGAAAGACTCCGTATGCCTGCCTGAATCGCAGCCGGAGATTACTGTTAGCACGATAACGGATGCTAATACAGTATCCAATGATATTGTTTCTGATGCCAGTCCTGTGACACCAACAAGTGCAGAACGAGACGAAGAGAGGCGTCGATTAGTTAGTCATTACGAAAATAGAATCGAGGATATGCATAGACGGCATGTTGACGAACTGCAGGAGCTCAAACAAAAACACAATGATAAAGTAGAGTCTTTCATTCAATTAGTTTTAATGTTTGCCTCTTTATTGTTCTTGATAATAAAAAGTTATTTTTCATATTATAGGTGGAAAGCTTATTAAATCAACTGTCTGAGGTCAACACTCGATACTGTGAAGTGCGGCCGGCTATGGATATCGCTGAGACTCGTGCACGTGAATTAGAAACGGAATTAGAGGCTGTGAAGACTGAGCTTAATGAACAGAAAACGCTTTTGAATGAGCAAGAAGAGAGAAATAAGCAAATGTACCTGAAAATGTATGCCAAAGGTCAAGAAGCCGCGCGTATTGAACAAGCCGATCAGGTACAATTAATATATCGAAAATAAATGTAAGGATGAAAAATATAAGCAAGATCGACATTGAATATTTTTCATAAAATTACAGATATTCGTGCAAGCACATCAATCACCGCCTAAAGTCACCGTTGCAGAATTGCTTCAACAGCTTACTATCACACAAGCTGAGTTAGAGAATATTAAGGTAAGATGTGATTTAGTCCGCAATTTTAAAAGTTCTACGTTGATTAATATAGACAGATTGATTGAAAATTTTACTCGTTTTGTACAAGATAATTTTCAATGACTACTAATATTTTTCAAATAGAATTATTAGTATGATTTTTAAGCGTTTTAAACATCAGAGTTATTAATGATAATTTTTTTCAGTGAATTTATCATGTTCGTTGTCATTAACGAGCTTTCATATTATTAGTTTGCATTGCGATATTTGCACACACTAAGTTTTCTATTAGTTCGACATTTGCATTCTTATTTTCCTTGCTTAATCATTAGAATGTCTTTTATACTTTCTAGATGCAATCTACCTGAAGTATAATGAAATTCGTATAATAACTGATTTTCTCACGATTGAAAGAAAGAGCAAGATTTGCTAGTGATTAATTATGCTAACATAATAACACGCCTAATGAGATGAATTTCAGGCGCGTTTTTTTTACATAGTCCAATCAGCTTTTACATTTGTTTCGCAGGCATTGTTTATTCATTTCTCACATTTATTACACTTATCAGACGTGTACATCACATTTCGAGCATTCTCGTAGTTCACAATACTCTCGTACTAACGATGTGCCACTTTTTTTGGTCGCCGCTCACACTCCAGGACACAAGCTACTCGCCTGAACCTCACATTTCAGCCGAACGTAACCAAAGTTTATTAAGCGCTCAGGAGGCTGTTTCTCTCTGGGTCCTTGGCACACGTAAGGTCTGTATCTTAACTCGGCTGCTACGTGATGACGCAACTCTCATCCACTTTTTATCGCCCATAAAGTAGCAGTTGTTCGCATATATGATGCACCGGTTCTATCAATGTTTTACTGCATCAAGAGCTGATATTTCGACACACAAATGTAACATTTGTCATGGTTTCCCCTCTTATAAATTCCGAAATTAGATAAATAGATTGGTATGTATGTCTGTGTGAACATCTCTCTTTTGTAACTTGTTTAAATAATTTATTATTTTGTAACTTCCCAGATAGCAAAATGTTTAAGTTCAGAATGTGTCGACAGAGTTTGCTCTGACATGCTATACCAGCATATTGATGGTAGAAACCGAGCAGAATTTTACACATTCGAGCAATTTGATGGCAGATTGGTAGCAGAAGTCGAGTTGCAACTTCTGTTCAGTTTCTGCAACCAATTTTTGGACGTAGCATGTCATCAGGTTTTGTTATATTCTAGTGGCAGTCTGTCGACATTGTCAAATATTACAGATTATGTGTGAAATTTTTTTCCCTTTCTGCTGTTAGAAATCGATAGCTTACTCGTTCTGCTCAAGTCCATCTTCGCAGGCTTAACTATTTGAGTTATTAATTGCATAAGTGTTATTTCAGAGTAATCGTCACACATTCACAAGTGAAAAAAGTTATGTTAATCCTTTGGGGACAAATTTTGTATATAAGTTATCATAGGAAATCAGTTCTTGAATAAATAAGGGCGTGTGGAAAAGAGCACGATTGCGCTCCTCTTTTTTTTTCTTTACATTCGCGTTAGTGAATGCTTGCTGCAACAATTGCATGCGGTCTATAAAGCACAAATGTAGATGGTTTATACTTCTATACGTTGCTCTTAGATCGGGTGATGTTATCCAGTGCACTTGGAAGAAACAGCCTCTTATATCTTCGGGCAATGTAAGTTTTGCACGAGCTTACAGGCAATGCACGCTTTCACCATATTGCATACAAACTTGTATACTATATATATATTTGAATCTAGATAGATCGATTAATTCTACTTAATATTAACTCATTAAAATATATTGCGTTGTCTTAATATAAAATTGATGTATACATACTTTTTAATTATATATGTATTCTATAATATTTATAATTGTTAAAAATTATATCTACACAATATGTTAAATTTTGGAAATAGGACATACAAATATGTCTAGATTCAAATTTGATAAAACATAATTATATGTACACAAACAATTATACATTTTCCAATTGTACACTTAATTTACACACACAAAATATTTTAATTTAATTCTTTAACGAATATATCGTTTTGTTTTGATTAGGCAATGTATAGGCGTATTGTAGAGGCGAGAAGCAGTCAGGGTACTCTTGATCCAGAAATTACTCTTCAGTTCCTCAAGTCAGCGATCTACTATTTTCTAACCGATAAGGAGAATCATCACGGTCACTTAAATGCTATTGAAAGTATCTTGGGTTTCACGGACGCAGAAAGACACAACATCGATAGATACTATCGATCGGCGAGGAAATAATATTTTTTTTAAATTTGTAATATAGAAAGTTATATCATTATTAACTGGTGTTATACATTATCAGATTTAACACCTAAATTTTTCGAAATTTTAATTTTGTTTGGTGTTTTTAAAGTAAACATTTTTAATATGTTTAAAAAATTTGTTTTAAAGTCGATAACTATTCGAAATGTATATCATAAAAGCAACTTACTCTTCTTACAAAAATTGCTAGCTAATCTATAAAAATATATGTATGGTGTTTAATTTGTAAATATAGCTGACAATTTTAGGAGATTTTACTTTGATATTTAAATTTTTGGGATTTAACAGAGTAAATTATATACATACAGCTTGAATAGACTGAATTCATTTATAACTATATGTAATATCAGTGCTCTGCGATGGCCATGTATTACAAATTAATATCACGCGTATCGCATGACTTGTGTGCTCTAAATTAGTAGATAAATATCATAGTTATATTTAAAAAAATTATATCTAGTTATTGAAAATATTTCACTCTTAATAATAATTATGTATGCATTGTGTGTGCATCATAAATATATTTCAAAATTAAGCAAAAAAATATGTGATATATATATATGACAAGCTGCTAAGAAGAGTTTCAAATCGAAAATTTATCTTTATGTAATTATTTGAAATGCATGCCCATCCTTATACGAATGTAAAAAAAGTTGCATATATCTTCTCGTTATCACATGGAAATCCTCGAATATAGATAAATACATTATTTATATATTTACTTGTTATAAATGAAATATATATCTATATACACATATACATATATATATATATATATATCAGGATAATTATCAAAGATTTGTCCATCTTTCAAATTTTCAAGTATTTATGAGAGTGATTTTGAAGACAAATGGTCAATGGAAATCATTTTCTTGCACATATGCATAATTCTGAATTATCTTGTATATATTATTTATATCAAAGTCTGGTGACATGACGTCCAGATAAGGTAACAATATGGAGACTGAAGGATATATCTTGCCTTTTTATCTGCTCGTAGCTTCAAGTTAAGTAGGTCGTGGAAAGTTATACAAGTGCAATGCAATTAACTATTAGTGGACGTCAATAAGCATATTTCCTATGTCTTTTTATAATTATAATTATTCCTTTTTTATGGGGTGTTTTTGTGTATTTAAATTAAAACCAAAGAATAGTGAGACAGTTAATTATTGTGAATAAAAATGTTGGATTATAAATTAAGTTTAATACTTGGCACCAACTACCGGATTAAAGTTACATTTTGTTATTGAAGTTTTTTTGAAGTTGTTTAGTAACAAAAATATCGTAACTTAGATATAATTGATCTTTTTGTTTTTAAATCTTTATGTTATGAAATGAAATTAGCATTATATTATGATATAAAATCAATATAAATAAAAACGATAATTTCTTTAGCACTAAGATTTTTGTAACTTTGAATAAAATTGGTCTGAAAAGTGTATGTCTAAGGTGCCAATAAGTACGAACATTTATAGCACATACAGATCGCTTTTTTAAGCAACATAATTCTCGTAATCAATGTTTTATAAATCAAGAAACAGAAATATATTGACAGTAATATCTAAACGTCCAACGTCAAGAAAAAATATATTGTATAGTTTCATATAATATATAAGTGCAATGACACATTTCTCTAACTTTGAGATTGTAGACAATGTTCATTTTATAAATAAAGTTCCTTTATGTGAGTGTTATAATATTTGTTAGGCCTAAGTAAACTCGATTATAAGTAATAAAACTCGAATGTCATTCCATCGAAAATAATAAGAAATAATATTAAAAATAAACGCATTTGACATTTTAGCTACATTCAGTTTTGCAAATCAGAAATATCCGTATTTGTTTTATCCTTTTTCACCAAATTAGTGAATACAGGATAGAATGACTGTGGATGTCTTCGATCTGCAAAACCAAACGCAGCTTTTAAATAAAATATGAGCGTGATCTTGTTTCTGATACAATATTTCCTATAAATTTAACAATTATGTATAATAAATTTCGTCTGTTTTACTTGTTTCTTCTTTTTACACTTAATAAGAAACATTATGTCTCCTTACTTTATTTTCACATCATTAGTGTTTTAATTGTATTGCAAAATATGGAAAGAAATAAAATTTTAAAGCTTTAATTAATTTTTTTTCCTTGTTCCAAAAATCACAGTTTCACTAAGGATGAGTCCACAACCTCGCTTAAGAGGCCCTAAGACGTAAGAAATTGACCAATCACAAATTATTTTTCTCGCATTCAACTATGATTAGTTAATTTCTTATGACTTTACGGTTTAGGGCCTCTTAAAGAGCGAGATTGTGGACGCAGTCTAATTATTTAACTAAGTATGAAAATGTATAAGGTTTAAGTATATTACTAAAGAATATAAAAACAATTTTTTTTAGATTATTTACTAAATTGTATAATACAAAATACATATGTATTACTTTCTTCCTGTTATAATTATGCCATCGTATTTTTGTTGAAACCACTTGATTGCGTCTTCTTTGGTAAGCCTGTGTTGGAAACCAACTTTACCAGTTTTCCTTCTTCTGTGAGCTACATTAAATCCTATAAATTGAATATATAATTTATATTTGCATTATCCTTCATTCTATAACATTTTTATTATCCTTTTAATATGTATTCATATATATATATATATATATATATATATGTTTAATTTAAGTGTAGTCTCAATTAAGTAACACATCCAGTAAAATAAAGTGGGTATGAGTTGCAAATATGAAACATTTTCTCTAGCACGTTTCAAATGTATAGACACCACTATAAGACAAGGGTATCTATGATGCAAATTGTGCAATATTTTATACATTCAATAATACATATAATAAAAATCGATAATCATTACTAACCTGGACGTCCCAATACAACGTAGAAATCTAATCCATAAATACCGATACTAGGATCATATTTGATTCCCAAGTCGATATGTTCTTGAATACCAAAACCAAAGTTTCCAGTGCAAGAAAAGTTTTCTTTTCTCAATTCATATTCACGTACCTGTAATTAAATAATGCATTAGGATCATACATAGTACAGATGCAAATTATATAGGTATATAAAAATTTTAATTTTTACCTTTAAACCACGCTCCAGAATCTCTTCAGCTTTAGCACCACGTACAGTACAATGAACAGCTATTTTCTCATTACGACGAATACCGAATGAACGTACTGTATACCGAGCCTTGGAAAATACTGGTTGCTGACCGGTCAGTTGTTCCAAGACCTGTATGAAAGATTATTGTAAGTTTACAGATGCACAACTGTGAGAAATATTTTTATTAAAATAAAATCTTATAAAATCTACCTTGGCAGCACGCGTCAAGCGATCACCAGATTCGCCTACACAAATATTTAAGCATAACTTCCGGATTCGGACTTCACGCATTATATTCTTGGATGCATCTTTAGGCTCCTTCTTCGGTTTCGTCTTCTTTTCGATTTTCTTCCCGGTCTTTTTTTCGGGTGCTTTCTTTAACTCCTACAATTGAAGTAATTATACATTTAGACAGTTTATTATTAACTCATGAAGTAGTATTTTAATTTAGTCAGCGTTAATAAAATACATTCTTATAATAAATTATGATAAACTGTCTACACATTAATTAAATATTTTTTAATGAAAACACAAAAACTATTACACATATATGATAAAACCGATTAAAAACAAGTGTGTTCTTATCCGTTTATCACATCGATAGGTTTAAATATTGATACTTTAGGTGAAAAATAAACATTATTAATAACTCATGACAGTTTTAGTTATCTCTACATTATAATTATATTTAATAGAAATAAATGATGTAAGAGATGCATAAAGATTAAGAGAAATTCCTTCAAGGCAAGAGAAGTAAACTCACCGCCATTTTGAAGAAAAGAAGTGAAAAGAACTGAGAAATCAGAATGCTCAGTGCTGCCTGCCGCACTGAATTGACGCCAGTGGCGCTACTAGCGCTGAACCGGCGAAACAATTTATTAGGATGCGGTCGAGTTGTCACTACGAATCCTTTGAAGCGTTTCTTGATTGGTCAATTTGTAAAATTCTTTCTTTTGATTGGTCAATCAAACGTAATCATCATCATTCGCGTAATGAGTATTGTGTTTTAAAAGATTTTAATAAAAACACTGCAACGGTCGCGCAGCGTTCAATTATAATTCAAAGCTAATGGCAGGCATTTATTCGAAATTAAAATTGAATAATTTTGGCAATCAAAAATTGGTTCCCAAATTCCTGTTGGTTTGAAATATAATATTGAAAGTGTTTCGATTCGATCTTACTCCATGAAATTCAATCATGAAACCGCTTTCCACTTTTTCGAATAGTGCCAACTTTATTAGAAATATATAGTATTAAGAACACACACATCGTGAAAAAAAAAAAAACGAAAACTTAAGAAGATAGAGAGGAGTTCCTTGTGCTCTTTTCTCTGTCCTAACTGAACGTAATTGTGCGCTATAACAAATAGTATTTACGAATCGATTATCCGATTATAAGAAGCGTGTAGCGCCTTAATTATGTAAATAACTGCTCTTGGAGAAACGACATTTATCGATGTGATCGTAAAATACGCTAACGATTATAAAATACCACGTGCACCACGTACAGAGAATCGTAGTGTATCTGCAGATAAAGTCGAGAATCGTGTAGTATATATAAAGCGATTGAGAAGATTAGATTCTCGTCGAAACTTTAGTTTCCTTTCGAAGATCTTTCTCGTAACGTGAGACTGCGAATACGCTTACATTGATTTCTGCCAAGAGTCGAATATCGATCGATATCATACATCATCCTATGAAAGATGGATGAATTAAGAAGATTCATTCTATAATATTGAACTTGCAATTTTCAAAGTTGATATTTATTCACAAAAATGAATTTAGCACCAAAATTTAGCACAATTTTGTAACAGCTTTCAATAATAATAATTCAGCAAAAAATCGTATTGAGATGAATAATATTACAGTTTAATGCGATCTTTATTGAGTTGTTATCGTTATCAAAAGATATTAAAAAAATTGTAGTATAAATGATGGGCCGGTTTTTTGTGGACGAGTGTAGTTTAAGGTTCGTTAATTTTTTATGATTCATTTGCTTTTAACAGGATGAAAGATATTGGAATAGTTAAAACAAGCGCGAGATAAAATATTATTGGAAAAAGAGAGTATGTGTGTATGTTTCATTTTAGTGCAACCGCAATTACAAAACTGCCGGTTAAACAGTTGAAACAGAAGCACTTAGGAAAGAATATCAGCGTAAATATTGTAATCCATCGCACAGATCGAATTGCGAAACTAAGACTGTCCGAAACATGGAACAACACAAATTATATATATGACGAAAAGTTTAGTTAAAAAGAAAGGCCATCTCGACGATTCTAAGATTTGTATACGTCAAAGAAACGATCTACCGAGAAATATGTATACATTCACGAAAAATAAAAAGAACAAAATTACGATGCGGTAGAACTGCAATGAATGTCTACACTGTCTTAAAATTACTGTCTTAAAACCCATTAAGACACCTCTCTTTTCAGAAAACATTTTTCAGTATCCTTTAATATTTATCATCTTTTAAATTTAAATCGTCAATTTATCGAAAAATCTATCTAAAACAGATTTTGCTAAAAACTGCTACAAACTTTTTGACTTTTGTCAAAAAACTACCAACAGAAACATAACGAAATTTATTAATAGATAGATATATAGTGGCAGAAACTGCGGGTAAATTCATTTTAATTATGTATTTAAATTTTGGTGCTGTCCAAGATTTATAATTCTTGGCATCGACTTGACGTGCATTGACATATCTATGCCTAAATTTTGTTGTTTATTCTTAATTAAAACAGAGAAAAACAATAGACATGAATATCGATACTTATATATCCGTTTACAAGTGTTTATTTAAAACATAAACTATTAAGTATATATTTTAAATATTCTCTTCTATAATCTAAATGGCCTCGCCGTAGATGACCAAACGGAACTGCGGTAAGCGCGGTAGACAGGGCGGATCAGAATGCCAGCTGAGACGGTTGGTGGCCAGGTACTACGCACACGGAAAGTTCGATCTCGCTATATTCGAGAACCAACTCCAACCTCTACCCCAATCCCACTCCACTGTCCTCTTCCTCATCATTCACATCCTCTCCCTCTTCCTCCTCCTCATCATCTCCACATTCTCACCCCCGTCCTCAGGTAAAAAGGGAACCTCCTTCACCCTCTTGCGAAGTAGGCAACCCACTATGAGTGTATTGCCCCGCTCCCAGGAGCAGGGAGATCCAAGCCCTCTCTCGCATTGTAAAGGTGTGGAGAAAGTAAATTTAGAAATAAATATTAATAGCACAAAACATTAAACACGTTCAATTTTCTTTGTTCCCTTCACCTTCTTTCCTCTCAGAAACTCTGTATAATGAAATTGCCTTCACCGACCGGATTCTGACAGAGTCTCGAAAAAGAGAGAAGAAAAGGGAAGCGAAGTGGCCGCTAATCATTTCTATTATGCCAGAGGAGTCAAGGCTCCACCCCACGCGTCTTCTCAGTTGTAAACATAAGTTGTTAGAACGTTAAAAATACCGTCGCCTAGACGCGACAATCATCAATATTTCTTGTTTTAATTTTTTCAATATATCTCTTTAATGACTTAATTTTTTAGCACCTAATCATTTAATTAAGTCATGAGCATAAACAGAATCAGGCTAAATGCAAAATAAAAACTACAAAATATAATTAAATACAAAAATTATTTATTATTTTATATTCTAACTACGCTAGAAGTAACTTATTGCTGATTTCAATATCTGTATAAATATTTATACATATATTTATAATTTCTCTTAAATACATAAAATAAACATTCATCTTTTTGTCTTCTTATTAAATTAAAATATCGCAATTTTTATAATAGACAAACAACGGTCTCTAACGTGAAAAAATAAATACATACTCATAAATACGAAAAAATTAATTTATGATATATGTATAACATACAAACGAATATTGCGCATTAGATCTTTCTCTGTTTCATTAAAATATCGAAGGTTTTAACACAAGGTATATTACTAAATAATTATTAAAACATTAAAAACATTAAAACATAAAGTACTTCACTAAATAATAGTAACAATAATAATTAAAAAACATTGTAATCATTTTTCCTCAAAGTTGCTAAAAGTTAATATTATCTCGCATTTTTCTTCTCCCATGAACACATTAAAAATAAGAAAATATAAAGTACCATTTATTAAAAATATTAATGAGTTCCGCGATGCAATATATATAAAACTAAAAATATTAAAAGATTAATATTATAATTTTTTAAAAATGTATGATGCTACATTAGTCATATTATTTAATTTAACTTTCCAATTCTCCAAATTCGTAAAGTACGAAAACATTCAGCCTGCTGCAGAATAAGCTTCTTTTGTGCATGCAATTCTATAAACAAATTGTGTAATTAGACTGATATAATAAGAAAATAAGTTAAAGTTACTCATAAGTTTAAAAATATGAATATAATTTTAATAGTAAATAGTAAATATTGCAAACGTTGTAACACTTACCAAGAAGTATACTAAAAACAGCAGCTGCATCTTCTGCCGTATATTCGTCCTTTGGAATAAGCTGACTCAACTTGACGCAAGGCTCCTCGAACCAAAAAACTTCTAATTGAGACAAAATATCTTCACTTGATACATTAGGTGAAATTAATGAAATTCCATCTGAGCTACTACAATAGTAAAACAATATTTTCATTATATCAAACAATTTTTTTTGTAAATGAAAAAGAATGAGATAACAATATGCTAAGTTTTATAAGAAAAAGAGCACGCGCTGTATAAAGTTATTAGTTTAACAAAATAATAATTTTATGCTTTCTTCAAACTGTCGATTTTGAATGATTTACAAATATCTGTTTACGAAAATTGTCAAATACACTTAGAATATTGTTACGTTTAGTTTTTAACTGGACAACAAAAATTCAAAATACTTGATGGGAGATCCTAAAATAGGTTTCGAAGGATGTGGCTGCTTTTCTAGTAGAACGTTTATATCTTCCAAACTTTCATCACTGTTACTTATATTTTGTAGTTTTTCTTGATCTTGCCTGTGCTCAACAGTGTTGAAATAGTATTATTTAATAGTAAAATATTAAAGTATTAAAAAATGCAAAAAATTGATGTATTAAATGTCTATAAAATATCAAAAATAATGGAAGAATATTGAGAAATTAAAGAAATTTTGAAAAATTAAAAGACATTGAGCAAAATTATATATATACTGAATAATTCTTAATAATTAAATTTCAGTAATTTCTTGAACATACATACATATATCAATAGTTTTTCTTTCATAGGTAATGAAATAGATTATTATACCTAATGTCTTCTTCTAAAGTAATCGTATGTATTCTTTCTGGTGACGGTGGTATACTCGCAGTTAAGTGAGCTATTGATATTGGCAGAATGCTGTTTGCAGGATCAGCAGCAATTGTAGTATCCATTTTCGTAAATGTACTCATATCTTTCGTAGGAAGATTTTGCTTGCTAATTGTCTCTTCTACAAGCATTGTTTCTTTCACTACAAATATAAAGTTCTTTAAAGTTTTGCATTAATGTAAATATTTAACAAACGTCTGAATATATTTACATTCTACGAAATCAGTAGGTGCAACATCCTCATCTACATTTATAAACGGTCCGGTGATGTGATCAACAAAAAGATTGCGCAAACTAGTATTCCATCGCTTAGGTAAGTATGAAGGTTCCTTGAGAAGATTTATCGCCGGTGTCAAACGTTCTATCGATTTAACTACATTATCTGATTGCTAAATATAATGGACGAATCTTGTCAGAACATCTTTAAATTTCCATTCAGATTAAATTTCTTGTTTTTAATTTTATTATGAATTTAGACAAGCATTTTTTGCAAAATATAATGTGAGAACTCACCTTGCTTTGAATCTTTATATTTTGACGCCATTTCTGAAGTTGTTTGTCAGTTAAGACAATTTTTTGATCAATAATTTTGGTTTTCTTTGAATGCTTGGCAATCACGAAGTTGGTTGAATGTAACGATTCCAATTCCATTTCTATTTGTTGTGAGGGAACTAATATTGCCGTTTTTTCCGCAGGCAATTCAGGAGTCGGTATTGCTATATCTTTTGCAAGTACTGCAATATCTTCTACAAAAGGTTCTGCAATATCTTCTAGAAGAGGTTCTGCACGTTCTGCAATATCTTCTACAAGAGGTACTGTTATATCTTCTGTAGTAGGTACACTTGCAGTTTCAAATAACTGTAAAATAATATAAAGAAAAAGAATTTAAAGTTAAATAAATTAAATAAAAAGTAACAAAAATATTTTTTTCCATTTTTTGAATAAAAAGAGAAAAAAATTATTATTGTCATAGCAAATATTCTCGTTTATCACTTCTATATGAATTCATAATATCTTCACTATATTGTAAAACAATCATTTATATCGGTTATAAATAAATACATACACGTCTTTTCTTTGTAGGTGTTTCGGGTTGAATTTGCGGTTGCCGTTTCTGCGGAGTGACAGGTACTTTTCCTTTGGATTTATGTATTCTTTTTGATATATCCACAAGCACCGGACTAATGTTTTTCTGAGATGAATGTCGATGAATCTCTGTTTATTACAGTTTAATTTAATAATACATCTGTAATAATAATACATCTGTACGTAATTCCTAATTTATCATTAATATACTTACCTTCTGTAATTGTTATATCAGCCATCTGTTTTAAAATGTTTTCCTCACTAGTGTGCAATTGTCGAAGATCACTAAAAAATCATTAACAGCAAACCATATATTATTCTTTGCATCAAAGATAATATAAATTAATTTTAAGATAATGATATAAAAATAAAGAAAAATCATAAATAAATGCATAGACTATTTCAAAAGAATTTTTACTACACTAGAATTAAGAAGTGATTAATAATAAAAAAAAAAAGATACAAGAATCAAAAACTAACAGTGAGATATTGTTATGACCCAGAAATAATTCCAACTCTTCATCATTTAAGCAACCAAAATTTAGGAGTTCCTCATCTTGCATCTATAAATAAAAAAGATTTTATTATAATCTGAATACACAATAAAAGTGAAGAAAATTTACAAAGAGCAAAAATTTGGAATTGTAAGAAATATGATATTTATTCAGAATCTAGTTAAGAAAAAGGATTTAAGAATACAAATTTGCTAATGATAAAATTATAAACCATATGAGATCTTTACTTACAGCTATTTCTAGCATGTCATGGAGATCTCCACCAGGAAGAATATGTAAGTCTTCTCTTAAAAGTTGAGTGCTAAAAAAATCTTTAGGCAGTTCTATATCAGGACATTCAATATCCTCAAAATCATCAAACCTATTTCCTTTCTTCTTTGATAATACAAAAGGGTTAAGATTTTCTTCAAATTTAAAAATATCCTCTGAAAAATAAAATGATATAGATTGACATGTAAACGGATAAAATCATTAATAAATAAATGTAGTAAAAACTCACTTTGATAATAATCAACCTGATAAGAATAAATTTTTGTTATACCATACATTAATTGTGACGACAGGTATAAACTGAATCTTTCATGTAATTTCCCATTGGAAAACTGTATCACTTCCAAAATATCATTGCTGATAATATAATACAAAATGTATAAAACAAAGTATCAAAAATGAAATTACACTTATTATAAATATAATAATGAAAATAAAGTAGTATTTAGAGTAAATAAAATAACTGATAACATATAATATACCATGTTTGTACAACGTTCATCTTCTTTATAGCATTAGAAACATAGAGTTTCTTAAATGATGCCTCACTATTCGTTGAAGCAAGCCAAGAAGCAGCAAATTTGCCTCTTTGTCGACGGGAAAGTAGATCAATTGGATAAAACATCTGAAAAATAAACCTTATTAATAAAAATAGATTTTTAGATAGCAAATAAATCATATCAAAAGAATAAATATAAAAAATAATACCGGAGAACAGTCAAAATTACCTTAATTTGGTACTGATTATCTTAATTTTGGATATTTTTGTCAAATGTAACAATGGCTCCTTTTCAGTGTCATTGACTAAAGAATATCCCAATTTTTATAATTGTTAGGCGTATTTCTTTCAGATTCGGTTTACCTTTATCGCATTTTCTTTGTTAGCGAATTATTTCTTTCATACAGAGTATAACATAACGCACCTACTTCTTCTTCTTCAAAGTTTAGATGGCCTAGATTCTGTTAAATAACGCACCTATTGAACGAATATCTTCCTCTCATCATTTTCAAAACGATGTGTTGCGCGCGGAAAGCATTAAGGCCCATTCTACAATTGCGTAAATGGCAAACCCGTGGCATATAGAAAAACGTAAGGCTGGAGTCACATTGAGCGGTAATTACAGCGGAACGGAACAACGAGACCAATCACAATCGCAGAAAGTAAAGCAGCGGAATGATTGTAGAGTTCTGATTGGTTTCACTATTCCGTTCCGCTGTAATTACCGCTCAATGTGACTCCAGCCT